CAGAAAAAGTGGACCGATATTTAAAATTTTTAGTGGAGACATTTGGTACCCAGAAAGAACCCAATGTACCAAATTTCAGCGAATTCTGTTGAAAAGCACGCTCAAGAATATTGGGCCGTACCCTTATATGGGGGCTATGCCTAAACGTGGACCGATATAGTCCATCTTCGAACTTGATCTGCCTGCAGATAAAAGACTAAAAAAGACTCTATGCAAAATTTTGGCGGTCTATCGGAATTCCTTCAGAAGTGATTACAACAGACGGACGGACCAAGATCAAGAATATAAATATATATGTATATGGTTCGGAAATGAATATTTCGATGAGTTACAAACGGAATGACAGAATTAATATATCCTCCAAACTATTGTATTTAAAAATACAATTTTTAAATTTTGTAAAAAAAATAATTGTGAATTTTGTTTTATTTTTTTGTGAAATAAAACTCACAACTTTTTTCGAATAATTTTTGGTTCATTTATCAACAATTTGGCATGTGGCGCCCAACTGTTCTCAAAATTTTAAAAAACAATAAATTAAGAAAAATTTAATTTTTCGATCCCCCATATTTAAATATTTTTTCCCGAAGCTAAAATTTACAACCTCTCATATTTAGTAATTAATTAAATAAATAATAAAACCTTAAAAACACGTCATCTCGAATAAAAAAAAAACATTTCTAGAATTTCCGCATAAATTCGATTTTACGAATTATGGCTGGCTATGGTGATAATTTTAGATAATTATTTAAAATGAAATAACTTGGCCTTTCATTGGAAACCCGAATGACTTCATTGCAATAAAATTTGAAATATTTTTGAAAGTAAATGTAGGGCTTTAAGCGAAATAGAAAAAAAAACAACACAAACCAAACAACAGCAAATATTGTATAATCTTAATGTAAATATTAAATAAATATTTATGTTGGCGGGGAGTGTTGGGGCGTAGCGGGGTAAAGGAATATTGAAATAGTGAATGGCAAAGAATGACTAAAAATAAATAAAAAACAAAACAAACAAAAAAAAACTAATTTTCGGCAAGAAAATGCCAATATAATCAAGGCCCCAATCCCCTTCCTGTTGTGTTGGTGGAACCCTCCTGTTTGGCTAAGGTGCCTCCAGCAGGCACTCCAACATCAGGTGATAAGATATGCACGTGTTTGGCGCAAGGTTTAAAGATAGAAATATTAATTAATTTCGGTTTCATTCATTTTTTTTGGAAATGAGATAAGGGGTTAAAAAAGACAGTTTGAAATTAAATTAATATTGAAGGTATTTGCAACATTTTTTTATAATTTTTGCTGTATTAATTTTTTACCTTTTTCTGCACACAAAAATTTCCTTGTTACCCATTTTGTTGTTTGTTTGTAGGTATTCATGATTTTCAATTAGGTTATCTCACACCTGTATTAATTGGCTGTCTGTCTATCGGTATAGGCGTTTGTCTGTCAGATAGATCAATGAACTCATATTGTCAGCTATTTTATTTGGCCATATTTGGTACTACAACAATTTGCGGAATGTAAAAAAAGAGAAATACAAAAATGTTGACTTTGACAAATTTGTAACAGTTTTCTGTTGTTGTTGCTGTTATTATTGCCGGTATTGAAACCCGTTTTTATTATTGACCTATAAAATCAGTTGTTGTTGTTTTTGTTGTTATAGAAAAAATGAGCTTGGGTGTTGTTGATTTTAATTTAATTTATTGGAACAGCCAACCAACCAGCCAGTAAGACAATAACCGAAAAAATGCAATGAAGCGTAAAATGCATTTGCTAATTGAATTTTTAAACAAAAAAAAAACAAAAAATGAAAAATCGAAAAAACAAAAACAAATATTGTAATATTTTGTTAGTTCTGTTATTATTTGTTTAATTTGTTGGTTTTACTAGGTATTTCCAGTAAATTGCCTATTTAATTTACACTTTCGAAAAAAAACTGATTTATTTTTCTAGATAATACCTAAAAATAGCTTACAAAATTCGAAATAGATCGAATATATATTTATACATATCAATAATCATTTTTATACCCTCCCACCATGAGGTGGTGGACATTCAAAATATCTAAAACTTGATCGGAACTTTTATATGGGGATTGACTATGCCATGATAAATTTCGGCCAGGAGAAAACAAAATACCAAACTATAGACACTCAAGTTAGAAAATTTGGCTAGGACCTTGAACATGACGAAAAATAAGGCTCTATATTTATATGGGCCTAGGTTGAAACATGGACTTATACATTGAAAATGTTCGGTGATAAGTTGCCGTATGACACTGCGCCCTCTTAATGCTGAAATTTAACCACTTCGATTGGAAAATGCTATTAGGGCCATCAACTATAGCTATAAAGTGTCGGACCAATATATGAAGGCTATGCTCAAATATCGACCGATTTTTATCATTTATATAATTAGAACCAGTTCGGTTAAACAAACATGCCCAAAACAAATTGGAGATAATGTTATATGAGGGCTACTCTAAAAAATGGACCAATATCCTTTGGTAGGAAGATCTGCAACCCATTGAGAACCATATATGTCGATTGTAGCTAAGTCGGGTTGAAAATGTGCGTTAAATCTTCAAAAATCGACATTTCGTAGGTACCTTTACGTGGAGGCTACCCCGAAACTTGAGTAAATATTGATAAATTTTGGTAGGAAGCCAATGATAACCCAACAAACCGAATTACAGCCAATTCAGCGGATAACCTTGCCCGAAATCACACAAATAAGGAATATTAAGAGGTTCGGTTATATCAGTGCTACCCCAAAATATGATCCGATATTTTAATGTTTTTTTGGTTGGCAGATTTTCTACGCAACGAGAACCCATAATACCAAATTTTATTCAATTCGGTGGAAAAACGAGCTCAAGCTCCCCAAAATATCGAATTTTTGGGGGTACCGTTATATGTGGGCTATATCCATAGTTGGTCCAATATTGATAATTTTTGGTAGGAAGACTTTCTATCCAATGCCTAATTACAGCCAAATCGGTTAAATGGCTTGCCCAAAATCTTCGAAATTCCGAACATTGGGGTATACCATTATGTGGGGACTATGATGAATGGTGGAACAATATTGATAATATTTGGTAGACAGATTTTCTACCCAATGAGAATCCAGAATACCAAATTTAATTCAATTCGGTGGGTAAACGTGCTCAAGCTCCCCCAAAATATCGAAATTTAGGGGTACCGTTATATGGGGGCTATACCTAAACTTGGACCGATATTGATAATTTTTGATAGGAAGATTTTCTACCCAATGAGATCCCCAAATGCCAAATTACAGCCAAATCGGTTAAAAGACTTACCCAAAATCTTCAAAATTCCGAACAATTGGGGTATACCTTTATATGGGACCTATCCTGAAAGGTGGACAAATATTGATAATTTTTGATAGGAAGTTTTGGCACATAATGAGAACCCAAAATACCAAATTTAATTCAATTCGGTGGAAAAATGTGCTCAAGCTCCCCAAAATATCGATTTTTTGGGGTACCGTTATATGGGGGCTCTATCAATACTTGGTCCAATATTGGTAATTTTTTGTAGGAAGATTTTATACCCAATGAGAATCTAAAATACCAAATTGCAGCCAATTCGGTTTGAAAACGTGCAAGAAATCTCTAAAATACCGAAATTTTGAAGGTGACCTTGAATGGGAGCTACCTAAAAAAGTGGATCGAAATTAATAATTTTTGGTAGGAAGATTTGTTACTCAATGAGAACCCAAAATAGCAAATTCCACCCAATTTTGTTGAAAAACATACCCAAGCTCCCCATAATACCGATAATTTGGGTTACCGTTATATGGGAGCTTTACCAAAACGTGGGTGGATTTTGATATTTTTTTGTACCCAATTAGAACACAAAATATTAAATTTTAGCCAATTTGATTGGAAAATGGGCCAAAAATTACTAAAATGTCGACATTTTAAAGTTATATTTATATGGGGGCTACCCCAAAAAAAGTGGACCGAAATTTATAATTTTTGGTAAGAACATTTGTTAGTCGATAAGATCCCAAAATACGAAATTTCAGCCAATTCTGTTGAATTACGTTCCAAAAATATCCAAAATACCGAATATTGGAGGGTTCCGCTATAAGCAGGCTATGCCAAAAAAGTGTACCAAATATTCAATTTTCAATACCAACAATCCTAGAAGGAGTAGCAATGTCTGTCCAAAATTTCAAAGCTCTATCTTCAAAAATTACGAACTCTATCATGATTTTAACATAAGGACCTGGCTCGGATATAGAATTTTATTCCAATCAATAGTATATATATATATATAAAGCCTCCTATGAATATTTCAAGGTATTGCAAAGGGAATCTCAAATTTAATGTAAATGTGGTTAAAAAATTTTCTTAATAAAAATACTCAAAATGGAGATTTTTATGAAATCCCCACATTTTAAATTCCCCTCTATTTTAAATTCCCCTTATATTTATTTGTATTTCTAATTTAGTTTTTCAGTAGTAACTTGAGTGTTCTAAGTGGGTTAAGGTTTTAGGTCGCAACGATAACGAAGCATTTCTGAGAGAGAGAGGCGTGAGATATCAGCAGCGGATATTCCATAGCTAGAATTTCAATACAATTGTTACACACACATTTCAAATTACAAAACTCAATGGAATGACGTTCATTATCGTTATTCATTCAGCTTTGAAATTTCCAGCAAAAAAATCAAATTTAGAATTAATTCAGTTAAAAAGAGAGAGAGAGAGAAAGGCGGTAGGAAAGAGTGTAGCTCCAAATTGATTAAATTTGAATATTCGCCAATTAGCAAAGTAATTATTTTGGCAAAGTGAATTGTTTAGAAATTAATTTGAATGCAATAGCAGGGATTTTTTTAGGAAAAAATATCAAAACTGAATTTTCACTTAAAATTAATTTCAAATTTCCTCTTTTCTTCTCTTTTCAGAAAAAATAACACACTAAATATAAATTGCAACTGCAGGTCAGCTAAGAAAGAAATTCCAACAAAATGTCCAAACCAAGCTCACCCACACCCAGCAACACTCCCTCTAGTCCGGAAATCAATAAGGCCGCCCTGAAACTCTGTCACATTGTCAAACGTCCCGACTTCGATGGCTATGGTTTCAATTTACATTCGGAAAAATCAAAGCCCGGCCAATTTATTGGCAAAGTTGATGCCAATTCTCCAGCTGAGGCAGCTGGCTTGAAGGAGGGCGATCGCATCATTGAAGTCAATGGTACGGCCATACACAGTGAGACCCACAAGCAAGTGGTGCAACGCATTAAGGCCATTTCTGGAGAGGTTAGATTGCTGCTAATTGATGTTGATGGCAAAGGTGATGGTAAACAGCATTTGGTCTCCACGACTAATGGTCATACTAACAATAATAACAACAACACCACAAGCATGGAAGTTAGTAAAACCGAACAAGTTCTGCCGGGGGCAAGTGAAAATATCAACAGCATTACCATGGTCTCGACCAAGAGAGCATCGCAGACATCACACAGTTCGGGACACAGTGCTGTGACCACAAATGCCAATGGTTCCGATGTCACCGATCATCAAGTGGTACACAGCAGCAGCAACAACAACAATATACCACCACCACCCTCAGCCACCATGGCCACAGTGCAAAAAACCGCCAATGGTGGCAGTTCATCACCATCCGGCAATGGTAATGGTGTTGTAGGTGGTTCGACGGCGGCGCCGGCGCCATCCTCCACCACCACTGCCAAAACGGGTGGTCTCCAATTGAATATGACCGCAGCTGAGATGCGTGCTAAGCTATTGTCCAGAAAGAAATACGATCCGAAAAATGAAAGTGTCGATTTGAAGAAGAAATATGAAATTGTACAGAAACTTTAAACCCAGAGCAAAAACAACAAAAAAAAGCAAACAAACGACCACCAACAAGCAGCATCAACAACAACCACACCACCACTAAATTTTTCAAGATCCATATCAGGGATCATTTTTTTTTTCGACAAATTTCTTAGAAGTCATTTGTAGGATGGATTTTTTTGTTTATTTGAAAACAAATCTCCCTCCCTCAAAGCAAAAACAAAAAAAAATAACAAGAAAAAGCCATTATTTTCGTTGAAATCATAAACTTCTAAACAAAACTTTCCGAAACGACAACACTTTAGCTTTAAGTATACAAAACAAAAAAACCAACAACAACAACAAAACAAACATACAACAAATACCATTTAAACATCTATACATATGGCTAATATATGTATGTAGATTTTTATTATTATTAATAATCTAATGTATTTTTTATTGAATATTTGTTTTTTGTTTGTTTGAGAGACAGAAAAAAATCGAAACCTCAAAATAATAGCATCGACAAATAGATGGATGCCACCACCACCCCCCACACTGAGCAGACAAACCAGAAGTTGAAATCAACAAACAAACAATAAACAAAAAAGTAAAAGCTCTAAAATAAAATTAAAAATAATATGCAACCTATGTGTCAATTATTTAAGTCAATTTTTAATAAGATATCATTTATTATTATTACTTATAAAATATTAAAATAAAAAATATTTAAAAATATATAAAAAATGTGTTTTATTTTAAAAGAAAATAATTTTGATGGGATTTTTTTGAAAAATTGCCGAAATTGGGTAGCTTAGATAATTAATTCACAACATTGGGATAGTGTAAATACATCATCCACCCCTGGAAGTACACCGAAAAATTTTTTGCAACTTTCAGATGCGAGGATACATCATTCGCAGCATTTGGATACCATATATAAATAGCCTTTATGTAATATTAAAATGTATGGATAACTTAGATAAATTATGGATTATGGATAACTTAGATAAATTATCTACAACACTAGGATAACATAGATACATTATCCGTAACTTTTATATAGCTCAGATTACTTTATCCACAACATTTGGATGACATAGATGAATTATTCGAAATGTTTGGATAAGTGAGAGACACTATCCACAGGATTTACATATCATAGATACATTATTTGGAGGTTATGGATAACACAGATGCATTATTTGCAACATTTTGAAATAGTAGATACATTATTAGAAAGTTTAGTATAACATAGATACATTTGGATAAATGAGATACATTATCCACAGACTTTATGTAATATTAATAGGTTATATATAGCTTTTGGATAAAATAGATAAATTATCCACAACATTAGGATAAGACAGATACTTTATCCACAACATTTGGATGACATAGATGAATTATCCGTAATGTTTGGATAAGTGAGATACACTATCCACAGGCTTTAGATATCATAGACACATTATTTAGATGTTATGGATAACATAGATACATTATCTGCAACATTATTAAAATGTATATACATTATTTGAAAGTTTTGAAAAACATAGATACATTATCTGCAACATTTTTAGAGGTGTAGATGCATTATAGATAACATAGATACATTATCTGCAACATTATTAAAATGTATATACATTATTTGAAAGTTTTGAAAAACATAGATACATTATCTGCAACATTTTTAGAGGTGTAGATGCATTATCCGCAACATTTTGATAAAATATATGCCTTCCATGCAACATTTTAATATCTAATATACTTTATCTACGGCATTTGGATGACATAGATGAATTATCCGATAATGTGGATAAATGAGATATATTATGCTAAGACATTAAGTAAAACTGATACATGATTTGGATAACAAAGATACATTATCTGCAACATTTTGAAGGTGTAAATTCACTATCCGCATCATTTGGATAAACTAGATACATTATCCAAAGTCTATATGTACCAATTATAGATTTTTCACAACTTTTGGATAACATAGATAAATTATCTGCAGCATTTGGATGACATAGATACATTTGCCGTAATACTTAGATACATTATCTATAGGCTTCAGGAAACATTTCTACATTCACAACTCTTGAATAATATAGATAAATTATCTGCAACATTTGGATAACACATAAGCATTGTTTACAACATGTAGATGATACAGATGCATTATTTCCAACATTTTAATAACATAGATAAGTGCAGAAATTTTGGAGCAACATTTGGATAAAAGAAACCTATTTTTCGAAACATTTGGACGATATAGATACACTATTTCTAAAATTTTGGAAACGTAGATAAATTATCTGCCACATTTCGTTAAAAATATACATAATTCGCACTGTAAATTATTTGTGTATGCCATTTTAAAATCACAGATACATTATCTAAGCTATTTAGATATTCTAGATAATTTATCTATGCCATTTAAATATCATAGATATATTATCTAAGCTATTTAGATATTCTAGATAATTTATCTACGCCATTTGGACAACATAAATATTTTATTTGAACCTTTTAGATGAAATTAATATTTTATCTAAGAAATTTGGGTAACATAGACACTTTATTTGAGTATCTGGATACTATATCTAGGCTATATGATAACCACTTACCAGTTATTTGGATTTCGCAGACACATTATCTAACCAATAGATAATAAAGATACTTTATCCAATTTAATAGGATTTCATAGATACGTTATCTAAGCTATTCGGATAACTTAGATAAATTATCCAAGATTTTTGGATAACGTAGATGCTTTATAAATGCCAATTGGATAAAAATAGGTAATTTATCTGAACTGTTTATATGAAATAAATATTTTATCTAAGTTATTTAGGACATTATAGATCATTTATCCATGCATTTGATATCATAGAAGCGTGGATACTTTTTTCGTGAAGTTTGAATTAAATGCAAAATGTATTAAGAATTAATTAAGTTATTAAGAATTAAGTTATTAAGAATTTTAAGTTATTAAGAATTTAGGGTTTGGATAACTAAGATAATCTATCTAAGAATTTTGACTTACATATAGATATTTTATCTCAGCATTTTGGATAACAACAATATTTTTAAAACTATTTGAAGGACATTAATAGTTCAAACTATTTACCTATTTGGATATATAGATAATCCAAACCATGTAAATAACACAGCAAACATTCGCCCCTGTATGTATTGTTGCCACAAACCCAGCAAAATCACCCAACATTATTTTACCGAGTGTAATACGAAAATTATCAACATTTAAAATCTCGTTGAACTACAGTTAATAATAGGACAGTCTCCCTTAAGTATGTTTCTCGCATTGCCTCTTCTTCTCATAACAAATTTATTACAACCTTTTTTGTCGACAAACGCTGCAATTGTGCTTTATCTTTATCAACGAGCAGCAACGCAGTCGGCAGTACCAGCAGAAGCATCGGCAGTCGACGCAACAGCAGCAATTGAGTGTTTTTTTTTTATTTTGTGCGTCTTCTATTAAGAAGAGTAGTTTGGCTTCTGTTTGACGGGGGCTATTGATTTCTCTTACAAACGAAGAAAAAATAACAACAATAACGCAAATCTTTCTCTACTCTTTATCTCTCACTCTCATTTAAACTCATAACAACAATGGGATGTTGGGGAAAACGTAAACTTTTAATTGAATGAAAAATAAAAAAAACCAACACCATTGTAAACAAAATAACAACAATAAACAATTTAAAACTGAGGTAGTGGAAAAAAGCGTTAAATATATTTAATAAATGGAGAAAAAAAGCTTTTTTTTCGTCTATGATCGTAGTGAAAGTGATGCCAGATTTTTGTAGGGAAAATACACAGGGAGAAATTAGTGTAAATTACTTTTGCAACGTATTTTTTTTAGACATTGTGTTTGTTGCTATTTAAATTATAAGTGGCTTATCTATACAGTAGCAGTGGGGTGTATACAGGTGAGTTAACCAGATAAGATCATGTTTTATTCAAAGTTATTAGCATCGCCTAAAAGTATGCTATTGAAATGAGTAATTCTTGTACATGAGGGTGTATTAAAAAAAAATACGAAATGCAATTTCTTGGGATTATCTTCGAAAGATTATTAGAACTTAACTATTTTATTGAATATTTTTGTTAATGAATATTATACATTTAATTATTTTTCTTAATATATAATATATAATCTATAATTTATGAATATCTATGGAACACATGCATAATTTATTTTTAGGGGGACCTCGAATATTCTTTAAATCCTTTGAAAAAAATATATTTTTTTAAATCCTCGCCACTAATGTAAATATAAATATATATAAAATATATTCTATAAAAAATCCTTAAGAAAATATTCTTTTAAAAAACCACGCCTCAGAAGGTGGCTTGAAAAAAATATTCTTTCAAAAAACCACGCCTCTGAAGGTGGCTTGAAAAAAATATTCTTTCAAAAAACCACGCCTCTGAAGGTGGCTTGAAAAAAATATTCTTTAAGAAAACCACGCCTCTGAAAGTGGTTTGAAAAAAAAATATTCTATCAAAAACACGCCTCTGAAGGTGGCTTGAAAAAAATATTCTTTCAAAAAACCACGCCTCTGAAGGTGGCTTGAAAAAAATATTCTTTCAAAAAACCACGCCTCTGAAGGTGGCTTGAAAAATATATTCTTTAAAAAAATCCACCCTCTGAAGGTGGCTGGAAAAAAATATTCTTTCAAAAAACCACGCCTCTGAAGGTGGCTTGAAAAAATTATTCTTTAAGAAATCCACGCCTCTGAAGGTGACTTGAAAACATATTCTTTAAGAAATCCACGCCTGTGAAGGTGGCTAGAAAAAATATTCTTTCAAAAAACCACGCCTCTGAAGGTGGCTTGAAAAATATTCCTCTGTTAGACCCTTGAAAAAATCCAACCCTCTACTGCAGCTAGAACAAATATTGTTGATTTTAGAGGAATAAATACACGTCTCTGATAGCCCTTGAAAAAATATTCCGTACGTCTTTGATAAAATCTTGAACAAATATTTTGAAAAATCAAAACCTTTGTGGTTGCTTGA